CAATGAACACAGAACTCTAGATGGCCTTCCCTGGCATGCTGAATGAAAGTAGGGATTGCCTAATGGGCAGGTGACATTTGGAGCAAAGAGATATGCACTGGGATAACATTTATTGCCAAGGGCTAGAATTCCTGCAACCCTACCCTGCACACAAATCAAAAGCACATGAGCAAGCATCGGAAGGTACAAGCTTAAGGCTGATATGTATGATTAGCCAAATGCTATGGAGAAGCATGTTTTTGAGACTTGGAGTACAAGAACAAATTGGAAGGAAGGAAATATAGTTGATCAGGTATGTACAAACCAGTAAGCCCAAATCTTTAACTGCATACTCTTTATAGCTTGCGTAACAATGAAATGACTCTGGAAAGTTTAATAACCACTTTTTAGCAGCCATAAAGGATTTGTCTAAAAAGAAGAACTGACGTAATTCTATAGAATTTTTAAGGAAGGAAAATCCTATATCCACTTGTTCCCACACTCTGTTTTACTACATCTTCATATCCTTTTAGACTGTTAATTGTAGTACAAATATAAACAGCTGAAATGCACTTAGCATTTTCAAGGCCCAGGACAAGAGCACCCAGGAAAATTTTTAAAAGAAGAGGGCTATGCAACTTGCAGCCTGGGACCATATATCCCACAAATGTTTTATTAGTTTTTGCGGCCCCTAAGATTACTGTATATTCTTGCATACTCTATATATAAGTAACATACACACTGTATATAGCACTAGCATTATAGCAGGGGTAGGCAACCCAAAACACTCAAAGAGCCACTTGGACCCGTTTCCCACTAAAAACAAAACACTGGGAGCCGCAAAACCCTTTTGATATCTAAAATGAAGATAACACTGCATATATCCTTTTTTACCTTTATTATAGGTGTGTGTATGTGTATGTGTGTATGTGTATGTGTATATGTGTATATATATATACACACAGAGAGACACACACACACATATACACATTAAAAATAAAAGTAAAAATATGACTCTTGGGAATATCCATACTATTAAAACAATGATCACCAAGAGAATGCTTTAAGAGAATAAAATTACATACACACAGAGGTTAAAAAAAGGATATATGCAGTGTTATCTTCATTTTAGATGTCAAAAGGGTCTCTCTCTCCCTCCCTCTCTATCTGCCCTTGGTCTGCCACTCCTCTTCCCCCACTCTCTCTCTCTCCCTCTCTCTCTCTTTCTCTCCCCCCCCTCCTATCTGCTGCTCACATGGCAAGCTTCAAGCTGTTGTCCAACAAGATCAGGGGTAGGCAACCTCGTCTCTTTTATGACTCATGGACTTCAACTCCCAGAATTCCTGAGTCAGCATAGCTGGGCTAGCTAGCTCTCTCCTGCCCTTCCTGCTTCCTTCAGAGACGCAGCAAAGGGAGGAGCTCCGCCCAGAAAGCTTTTCAGCTCCTCGGAGAACACTGTGAGTGCACTCTCTTTTACACATACACACACAAAACACACACACACACCCAGACACACACACACACACAGAGAGAGAGAGAGAGAGAGAAAGAGAGAAGCAGGGAAGTGCAATTGCCTCTCTCTGTCTCTGTCTCTCTCTGCAAAGGCAGAGGAGGCTGGGAGCCACAGGGGAAGGCTCAAAGAGCCGCATGCGGCTCCGGAGCCGCAGGTTGCCGACCTGTGCATTATAGCATTTAGACTTATATGCCACTTCATAGTGCTTTACAGCACTCTCTAAGTAGTTTACAGAGTCAGCATGTTATCCCCAACAATCTAGGATCTCATTTTACCGGGCTTGGGAGGATAAAGGCTGAGTCAACCTTGAGCCAATCAGGATCAAACTCCTGGCTGTGGACAGAGTTAGCTTGCAATACTGCATTCTAACCGTTACGCCATCACGGCTCTTATATATAAAAGAATAACAGTACAAACTCTTGGACAATGTCATAATTTGTTGGCAAGTTTTATCTAGAAGTCAAAGAAATGATATATCAATTGACATGTCAAGTCTTTGGATAGGCTTAGCCCATTTTTAATTAGAAGCCAGAAATCCTCAAAAATAAAGGGGGGTGGGTGGGAACCCAGCCTACCCACTTGCTGCCCCATCTAATCCAAGAAACCTCAAGCAAGATCCATCTCTTCCTTAGTGAGCCACAAGTTCAAGGAGCTGGTAGATCTACTCCACAGATTTGCAAAGGTGTAGTCACAAGTCAAGAAAAGCCAGCTCAAAAGGAGTGTTTCAATCAGGACCAAACAGGGAGTGACCAAATCAATCTCATGTCTATACCAATCTCAGAACAAATGTAAATAGCAAGAACTCTATCCTTATTCTGAAAAGCATTGCAATAGACTTGTAGACTTTGCATCACTGATTCATATGTGTAAACATATGTTTTCCCCTAAAGATGATGTATTCCTGCTTGACGTGCTTGAAAAGCTGTTTCTTAGTTTAGTTTAGTTTAGTTTAGTTTAGTTTAGTTTAGTTTAGTTTAGTTTAAAGGGTGGGCAATTAATTTTCCTAAGAGGTCACATGAGAAACCGGAACTGTTGTGGAGGGCTGAACCAATAGGGCTATGAAAGTGTATAGGCACTGAGACATATGTAAATTGAAAAAGAAAATGCAGTTGTATTGAGTGCTTGGCATACACTTATTTACATTTGATTTCTAATTTTGGATTGAGCTCACATAGGCTGGACAGAGACTGCCAAAGGGTTGGATGTGGCCCATGGGCCATATAATGCCCAGGTCTGATTTAGGTGAGCAGTTGCCCTACTGTACAGGGTTTTTTCCCCCCTCTTTCTTTCCTCCATTGCTCAGATCCCCCACCATTTTATTTCTTGAAATAAGGAAAGGTTTTTTTCTGTAACTTTTTTTTAATGACAATTGTATGTTCCTAAGGTCAGGGACTCTGCCTTTACTTGTCTCTTGCATATTCTGGGATACTTAAAAGCAGGATGCACATGGTACCTGAATGCAGGTGTTTGCTGAAATATCATTTGCCTAACTAAAGACAAAATAGATGGCTGATTTAGCCTTAAGCAACTCACATGTATATATTAGAATGATATCCAGCTCTGTCTTCAAGAGATCAAGGTAGCTTATAAGGAGATTTTATTTTATCCAAACAACTACTATGTGAGGTAGGGTGGGATATGATTAATCCAAATTTTCCATACTTTTTCCATAGCTGGCACCTTAACTATCACATTGGCTCTGTTGGTTGTATTTTAGCATTATTAAAAACAAACAACTTTATCTGGAAAGTTAATTTTCCTACTGGAACAGTAGCAGCAGCAGAATACTTACCTGTCCCATGAGCTAAGATAATTTATCAGCAGAGGCCCTTTTATACTATTCAAATACCAAATGTAGTTTTGATTTTTCAGAGCACATACAATTAAAATATAACACATATTTTATGTACTTTTTATAAATTTATGCGGATTTCCACCTTATTCACACCTTTAAAGAAAGTGGTAACTACTCTTTTTTTTATTGAAAAATTTTATAAAAGTTACAATATACACCCCTAAACCCACCCACCCTAAAAAAAAACTCTCTCCCTCCCCCACTTCCCAGAGCTGAGTACAGGGTAACAAATATAATAAGCATAATCTAACTAACATTAACCAACTATATAAATAACCAAGCGCTTTAACTCTCCTTTAACATAAAAATAAACAAATTAAAAATAAACATAATAATATAAACAAGTTAATATTCTAATTCTTGAACAATACAATATCCAAATTGTTAAACAATACCAATACTAAAAATAATAATAAAACTAATAAAAATTCCACTATAATAAACTATTATTAATAATAATACTCTAAAATTTACTCATAAAGTAAATGGAACTTTTTAGTCCCATATTTATTCTGAATATAATCTACCCATCTTCTCCAAACCGAAATGTATCTTTCTTGTGAATGATCCTTCAAATAAGCAGAAATCTTAGCCATTTCTGCTAAGTTTAACCCTTTAAGCGTCCATTGTTCTATAGTAGGCAAACAATCCTTCTTCCAATATTGCCCTACCAATAACCTTGCGGCTGTTATCAAGTGGTAACTACCCTTAACTATGGCAACTTCATTTGAGAAGATACCAATTTTCTAAAAGAGAAAACAAGGTAAACTACAACACATCTATTCATAAATCAATTACCTTCTATCTATAGGAAGGATTCCAAATGGAATTTTAAAAAGGTCACAACCTACTGTATTTTTTTAAAAAGGCACAACTAATAAAATTTATGATGGCTACAAAAGGCAGCCGCTATATCATTGTATTGCAACCTAGAATGTGTGTATTCAGAAGAGATACAACACCAAACCTATGTACTGATAGTTCTGAAGCATATTATAAGTCTGCCCTTTTTCTTACCAATCGTTCGCACAAACCAATTTTATTATTGCTAATTGCTGGAACAGGTGGAAGGAAAAGCATGACCAGCAACAAGGTGGATGTTCAGTGGCAATAGATGTAACCTTGGAAAATCTGGAAGGCCAGTTAAGAGAGAGAAGTCATAGAGAAGGTCTATCTATATATGTTCCACGAGTCTCCACATCAGCTTGATGACACAGACTCCACCAATGTTGAAACAGGGTGAGAAGGTCATTTACCGCACAGCAAGGGTCTAGGAATTTTTACTGGGGCCTCAAGCTCCTTCACTACTGGCCTTTACCTACTGTTAGTAACGCACTACTGTAGTTTACATTTTTTAATAGGTCACCATTCAACTTGCCACTCCCTGCAAAGCGAGGCTCAGCCGCTACTACTGTATTGCTGGGCACTTAAAACCTCCAGAATCACCGCAGCAAGCATTTATACCAGTAGTTAACAGGGAACTTCTAAGGCGATCAAGAAGACTGCGGCAAGGACAACAGCATTGGACAGGTGCTACCGACCCAGGTTTTCTGCCACTGGAGGCCGAAAGGGCTGCCCGTTCTGAGGAAATCTTTCCCCTGCCTTCCCCCCACGCTCTGCCCCCCCCCGGGTGTTTCGGTTTAGCCCGGGAGAAGAAGCGAATCGGGGCCTGGCACCGCCCTCGAGCAGCGAGAGGAGGGCCCGAGGTGCGCCGTCCTCTTTTCCTCCCCTCTGGCTGGATAAACCCCGGGCGGGTCCGGTGGTTTTCGTTGCTACGACCGCCTCCAGCGGGATTCAGAGGAGCCCGTCGAGGAGTGCGTGACGCACCCCCTCCCTCCCTTCCTCCGCCCCTCCGCTCTCTTCTCCCGGAGAACAAAAGAAGAATTCTTTGCACAGGTTTGTGGGCACGCAAGTAACCTGAGTTTTGGCAGCTTCCCAGATACTCTCTTGCTCAGGAAACTGCATACCGATTTTTTTTTTAAGTCTATAAAACAAATCGTCTGGTAAGGGAAGCCTCTGTCACTCTAGGAAGGGGGGAGGCAAGCCGCAGCGACCCCCGGAGGAGAATTCCCCTCTGCACGGGTTCGCTTATACAGCATTTCATCAATTTATGGGCCAGTCTTGGTGACAGGTACAAATTAAGGTCAAACGCGAAGCTTTTTGTTGGCTTCCCTCCACCTGCTTTATTTGGCGAAAAAGGGGTGTGGCCTTATACAGGTTTATTTGACCCTCTGTTACTCTCTGTAAATGATATTGCGAGATTGCCTCTTTCTCCGAAATGGAGGCAGTTTCCATTCTTTAAACAATCCTATGGTGCAGTCTCTCCCTAAAACTAGACATTTCCAAATGTCTCTCTTGCCTGTGTGCTCACGACCCCCTTTTGGTTATTACTCTGCCCATACATGTGTGCCTAGATTCTATTACCCTTGGCAGGATGATGGTAATCTTCTTGCCATCTTTAGATTCCTGATGGCAACACACCTACTCGGCATTAAGAAACTGGAGCATGCCTCTTAAATTAGTGTGTTCGGTTCAAGGCAGTTGGCTGTACCCTTTTTCTTCAAGAAAAAATCTGAAGAGTACCCAAAAGTCTCCAACCCCCACATTAAACAATTTGATTTACCCCAAGTATCAATGAACCAGTGCTGAGCAGGACCAAAAGTAATGCATGTAGAAATTGCAGGGACTGTTTTTTCAAGATCAAAGGGAAATCCAGCAGCTCTGGCCCTTTAAGAACTCCTCCCTACTCAATCTTCACATTCCCTGTCTTTCCTCTTGGGTATTTGTTTGGAACTGATACAGGATCTCTCCCGTGGCAGCTCCAACTTGGAACAGCTGGAAGACTACATCCCCAGCTAAGTATTCCCCCGCTTGGAATTCAGCTGCCAGCCAATATTCTGGTTTCTCCTTTTAGTTTGACCCTCCCACTGTAGAAGTGGGTGAGAGAGAAACCTTGGCTTGCTTCATTCAGACCAGCTCCCTTGGGCATCATAAGAAGTATGCCAGGCTCTCCCCCCTCCATTAACTAGCAGAGACTCTACCTCTCCCACCTAGCTTTCCCTCTCCCAGCTATCTGAGCTGAATCCCCAAGTAGAGTTCTCCAATTCAATCAGTGCCCTATGCTGGGGATCTTACAAGATAATCTGGTATATGCTGCTTTGTACAAGATGCTCCTTACCTTTCAAAAGAATAACAGACCATAAGCATTACCTAGCAGCTTGGCTGGAATATACTGGAAATGAGAATGCCAATACAACTTTTTTTTTCCTTCAGTATTTGAGGAATAAAAACCACTGATTACAAGTGTATCAATCACCAATGGACAAATGGGTATCACAGCATCAACATTATGTTCTCACATAATATGATATTGATGGCTTAACTTAAAATCTTAGCTTGCAAAAAAAAAAAAGGTTTCTAGTTCCGACAAGCAGGCGTTGGAGCATTTTTTCCATGTTAGGAGAAAATGAAAAGGCCACATGGACTGTATTTACCCACACTGGACAGTACCGCCAATCATAAACAAGGCACCTCCAGGAGCAGCTGTTTGACAATTATTATGATTAAAGTCCAATTGTATTACCACTTTCTGGGGAGTAAATCACATTTAATTTCTTGGGAATTCCAAGTAAACATGCATAAGATTGTATTGTCTTTCTAAATATTGGAATCAGTAACTTCCCCCCAGAGAATAATTCTTTCAGGATTTTTTTTTTCAAAAAAAGTGACCAAGATGTCAGTTTAATTTAATGCATCAAAATTAATTTCTGCACTCTGTAAAGGAAAAAGTGGGGATGTCCTGTGGAAACCCTTTTGCACTTACCCCTTGCTGGTGGTAATCACCTACTTGAGGTGTTTCCTACCCTTTGCATATACTTTTATGATTAGGTTTATGTTATGATTCGTTTGTTTCTATTTTTTTAAAAAGGCAAGAACTTACCTCACTGCTGATGAGTGGCAGGTAACAGAGAGACACGAAAAGCAGTCCAAAATTCATGCCGACTCCAATCCCCAAAAGTTCCAGACACATTGAAAGAGAGTCTTTTAAAAAAAAAAAAAAACCAAAGAATTAAGATTTCCCCAGTTCAGGCAGACTGCAAGTGAGAATCTGCCCTTACTGTAATTGACTGTATATCAAGTGTATTCTTTACTGCCTCATTTCAGTCCTAGTAAACTTTCTCCAAAAAATTATACTCTTAGCGGAAAAAATTAACAGCTCCAGAGTGGAGAGACTTGATTACTAGTCTGACTTCTCTGTAGAGAAGAAAAAGATATTAGTAAAAATAAAAATTTACTCATGTCCCCATCAAAATCTTAGCCATCCAAACTCGGTCTCTTCCATCCATGTGCCCCTAGTAGTGCAGTGTAAGGTCTGTTTCCCTAGATTTGGCAGTTCACATGAAATCAGGTTCTCTTAAAGATAAAAAAAAAAAAGTCTGCTGGCAAAAGCAAAATTATTTAGACTGTTTCTTCAAAGCATTAAACTTCAACCATTGAAAACCATGCAGGGAGAATGAAGATCTTCAAGTGCCTCATTTTTTTCTGATTTGACTTCTTAAACCAGTCCTTTGCTCGGAATCATTTGGCTGAGCTCCCCCCTCCCCAGCCGTCTTTCCATAGAGCAGTGGTAGTCTTGGTTGAGGAAGAGTTTTTGAGGCTTCAGTTGTTATATTTGCAGACAGGTGAGCAAATGGTTCTTGCTGCAGCAAATTGTGTGTGTGTGTGTGTGTGTGTAAATAAAGTCTTGCAAAACCTCCTAGAATTGCTGCAGTTGCTCTCGCTGATCCTTGCACTCAGTTGCAGCAAGGAAGCAAAAGGTCCGCTCTCTGGTGGAAGCAGACACAGCACCAAGGAGAGAGCAAGTTTGGGTCTCAATTTTAGTCTGCAAGAAAATAAGGTGCTAGTATTACAGTTTCTTCTTTTAAAGGAGAAGAGGGGGAGGGAGAGGAGAGGGGGAGGAGACAGGGCTGCCAGGAACTCCTCTCTTGGCTAGGAATCAAAGAGGGGGAAAAAAGAATTTAGTCTCAGTAGAATTTTTCAAAATCTTTAGCTAACAAACACAGTGCGAATGGAGAAACACCTCTGCTTTCCAAAGGGAGAACCTGGGAGATTCTGTTCCTTCAGGGTAAAGTGAAAAGGGGGAGGATAGTTCTCAGGCTAGCATTGCTGTGTTGTATTTTTGGCTCCTAATATTCACTGTTGAAGCATAGGTACTTGGCGATTAATATATGTTCTTTTAGCTCTGCTACTTCAGTGACTCTTAAAAAGGAAGAGCTTGAATATCTTTGATCTATCTGCAGAAGAAGCTAAAAGAAAGCCAAAAAGATATAGATGATATTAACAAAAGAATCCGCCAAAGTTGGCATGTGTCATTGCCTTCAGTGCTGGAAGGCAATTTGTTGTTATAGTAATAATTTCCAGAATGTAATAAACATCCAAGCTTTGGAAAATTGAGACATTTACTGAGGGAAGTTGGGATAATTAATTGTTAAATGAAAATGAAACAAGAGTCAACATTTTTTATTAAAATAAAAGCATAGCTCATCATGGTATGGAAACTACATTTGATGTTATTTCTTTTCTCGCATTCCAAATCCCTGCTCAAGAGGATTAATTCAGTTTACACATGTTAAGCCCTAATATGGGTTTATTTTGGCTTATGATACTATATTATGAAAATCCAGCCATAGCTATCCATTTGCAAACCAGAGTGATTTGTTATGTTATGAGAAATGAGCCAATGGTGATTTACTTAAACCACAGATTAAACCACTATATGTGAACTTTTTCATAAGCTATTGTAGACTCCGCTCTTAAAACCTAATGCTGGTCATATCTGTGCATTAATTCCATCTGGTAAATGGCTAAGATCCTTTTCTGCTATGTCTAGTTATATAATATATATACTTTATAATTTGTTACTCTGCAAGTAAATGCATTGAATAAATAAATTGTGTGCCTTTTTGCAAACTTGAGGCATTACTTGATCTAACTTAGTATTGTCTGCTGCAACAGCTGCTGCTCATGCAGAACTCTTTCTAAGTGCATCTGTTCAGACTCTTTAAACTCAGTGTGTCCAGGGTGGGGGATTCCATATACAAAATATATGCTGTACTGTTGAGCTCTAAACATTCTACATGTGAGATCCAAGGTGCTGTTCATTATTTTTCTGGCAGTTTCATGATGTTTCAAGGCAAGTGATTTCAGAGCAGCCCCCCAATGGTATTTTTAAGACCAGACATATGCACATAAATTTTATATTATGTGGCTTCTCAGCATTGGAACGAGGCATAAAGTCTCTGCTGTAAAAGATTGATTAGATGCAGAAACCAGGCAGCATTACTGACAACCACTTTGTTGCTATTTAAATGGAACCATTTTTACCCTGTCATTCCTTTTTCAGCAGATGTCATCCTAAATGTTTTCTCATCAATATGTCTGGATCTGAGTGCAAACAAGCACATTCCAGTAGTTCTGCCTTCTCTCTCCTGTGAAATGATGTAGCTACCTACATCTCCTTCCATTGATGGTAAAATGGCCAGGCCATCCATTAGCAATGAGCCATCCTGAGGATGATCAGCTTAGAGATGTAGTACTATGGCAGCCAGCAGAATCACTGAAAGAGTTTTACTTATTTTATGATAAAGACAAACTGGATAAGAGCAACATAAAGAAAGTAGAATGATTTTGACAGTAGCCCTAAGAATCCATCTATTAATCAATGGCTCTCAGGATTATGATCCTGTGCTATGGATGTTTCCAAAGTTTGCAGAAAAGTGTCAAGAGTGAAACAGCATAGTGCAACTGGAAGCAAATGGATTACCCAGTGTTTCTCAACCTTGACAATTTTAAGGCATGTGGACTTCAACTCCCAGAATGCTGGCTGTGGATTTCTGGGAGTTGAAGTCCACATGCCTTAAAATTGTCAAGGTTGAGAAACACTGCATTACACAGTGCTTATTTGAGGAGGGGGGGCAATATTTAGTCTACATGTTCCTCTTCAGTTGTGATTTAAATAGAACCATAAGGATTGAGTAGATTCATAACAGCTTAATAAACCAATTCATATTTATCCAATCTGGACAGCTCAGATATAATAAAAAGTGGCACAAACCTCCATTCTTCTTCTCCATCAACACAGTGACTCTTGTTAGATCATAGAATATGCTCTAATGTCAATTTATATCTGGGATTTAGACATTCTTTACAAGGCAGAAACTAGTATGGCAGAGAACAAAGCCAATTCAATAGAGGACCTGCAGCTGTGGCAAGAGTTCAGTTGTCAACATCAGTTGCCCATTTTGTTAGGGTTTTGGGGTTGTCCTGTTATCTATGTAAAATCCCAGAACGTTTTGTTTGTCTATTAAGGTTTTTCTAAATGCTATTTATCTGAGCCATTCATTCTTTAGTAGGCTCTATTGTGACTTCACATAAGATCTAGAGTTGCCCAGGATTCAGAGATTTATGTGATTGTACATGTCATAACCAGGTGCATAACTGCTTCATAGAACCTCTGTGGAACGGAGCTCAGAGGAAAACTGCAGTAATAGAGGTTGGTAATGAATACATTCATGGCTTACTTAATTATAGCTTGATAAATAAACCAAAATGAGCTGAGCTGAGCTCAGTCTCCCCACCACCACCACTTTTCAGCTACAAAATAGCTTCACTCCCAAAATTTCCCATTAACAATGCTTGTTGGGAATGCTAAAAGTTGTAATCTTACTATGTTTGGGAAACATTTCTAGTTTTGCGACCTTGAGAAAATTCTGTTGCCTTCAATTTGCATTTCAGTATAGTGATAAAGCTCCAGCTGGCCATCTCAATAATTGCTATTTAAAGTATGTAAATGATACAATTGGCACATTTAGTTCCATGCAGTTTTGTTGTGGGTTTTAGAGGAGAACCTTGGGTCATTTAATTTCTCACTACTTTGCTCCAGCTGCAGTGGTTAAATTTTATGTACTTTGCATTTAGGATGAAGAGATGAAGAGCTTTCCAAGTGTTGGAATATCCCCTAGAGGTTATAGTGGAAGGGATTCCCTCCCTCCCACCTCCTCCAGAAAGAAAGAGCAGCTGGTTTATTACCCACAAATATTGGATATTTCACAGTACTGTAGAGAACATAGCCCTTCACACAAAAAAAAGTTTCCTTGACCTTGCTTGAACATATGTTTAGCCTGAATTATTAATGTATTTCCATGTTTATTTCCTACATTACGGGCATCTTCTGACTAGCAATGCTAGCACTGCAACTTCCAGAATTCCCCAAAACCTATTTCTAAAAAAAAAAAATAACCCCCCCCTTTAAAAGTGTTTCCTTACATTGCATTACTGTGCCCCTCTGAACATAGTTGAACTAAATTACTTCTAAATACAACTTTATAGGACCACATTGTTAAGCATCCAGACACTTTTCTCTAATCTTCATAAGTGTTTGCCACCAAGAGCAGATGAAAAACTTTATTTTTTTCATGGTGTGAACTTCATAATGCCTTTTAAGTACATCAAAGTGAGAATGTGCAGAGTCTAGGGTCAATATAGTAGGAAGAGTGATATTTGTGGTATGAAAAACCCAAGTTTTGTTTTTTTAAGTCTTTGGCGCACTGTCTTTTCCATATCCGGCTAAATTACGTGAGATCTAATATGGGGGAAAAGATTATTTATTTACACATGGATGATGTGTGGCAGAATTTTTAGAATCATAGCTTTAAAAACAAGCTAAATCTTAGCAATTCAGACAGTGAGGAAGAGGATGTTTAGAAAAAGACCTATAGTTCTGGATGGGTCTTGAGGTAAATAAAATTCAAAGAGCTTAAGCTTTTTATGACTATTTATTTAAATTATATATTATTTAGTGAATGTGTACAGAATAAAAAAATGTATATTTATTGAACAGGAGAATAAAATACACCATCTTTACCTGTATGAAGATAGATGATAAAAATCATTTGTTCTTGAAGAGTATATTGTAGCTTCTCCAAAGCACTCTTCTCAAATCTGGCAGGTTCTAGATTTTGGGGGAATGAAATTTTAGAGCAAATGTGTGAATGTCTTTTGGCCTAAAGTCCTCACATGGCCAGGAGGTTAGGTCAAAGACAAAGATATGGACAGAGTCAGGAGAAAAATAAATTTAAAAATAACAATAAGTAAATAAAAATTTTAAAAAATAATTTTGATATAATTTGATTGTAAAACAAGTTTATAATTTTGATTACTTCTATATACTTTATTTCTTCTTACCTCATATGAAAATAGAATTTTATGCCAATCTGGGGAGCTCTAAGAACTGCACTTAAAACTACACAGCTATATGTAGAAGTTATATTAAGACACAGGGTTTCTTAGGACCGATAAGTTGATTATTTGGTGGAACCGTGATGGCACAGTGGTTAGAATACAGTGTTGCAGGCTAACTCTGACCACAACCAGGAGTACGATTCTGACCGGCTCAAGGTTGACTCAGCCTTCCATCGTTCTGAGGTCAGTAAAATGAGGACACAGATTTTACAATATGCTGACATTTGTAAATTGCTCAGAGAGTGCTGTAAAGCACGGTGGAGTAGTATTTAAGTGCTATTGCTATTACTATGTCAACAGCCATCAGTCACTAACCTCTAAGACTGAGAAACTCAAGATGGAATGTCTGTTAATTGGTGGAAGAGGCAGGGAAATGAACTGCCAAAATTAAACAACTCCAGGTATAAGAAGTCTCCACTTTATGTTGACAGAGAGTGTTGTAACTTAAAGATTATGCTTATTTAATCCTAAATACAATATAATTTTTATGTTGTCTGATATGACAACTATTTGGATAGCTTCTGCCAAATTTAAGCTAGAGAATCTGACATCACGTGTTTTTGAGACACAGGCGTTTGTAGCTAGCTGCAGTGATGCCAAGATGATGAAATGTGTGTCAGGATATCACAATATAAGCTCTGCCCTTTCATACTTGTGAATCTGCATACAAGTATGTGAAGGCACAATTTCTGACACAACATACATGTCAGTTGGCTTCTATTTGTTCCCTCACTGCAGGTGTCCATGCTGACACATCAGGCTGTAAAACCTCTTCTAGGATATCATAGTCATAGTAAAAGCAGATGATAAAGTCTCCTGCAATTGAAGTCCACATAAATGAAAACTGTGCTTTTTCAATTCAATACTGTGGTTGTTCTGCTTGCTACAACTAATAATCTTTCCCTTCCAGTGCTTCTAGATAAGATATGTGATGGTGATTAAGATATTGATCACATTAATACTCCTGAGCAACCTATTCCAACCTGATATCTTCCAGTTACTATGGACTATATCTTTCATAATCTTCATTTAGCACAACCTATAGCTGGAGCTTAAGAGTTATAGAGACCAGGAGCTCTGAAGGACAATGGGCTGGGGAAAAAATGAGCTCCTACTTAGAAAACTGCATTTTAGTTTTAAAGACGTGTGGAATATTGACATATTGGATTCAGACATTAAAGTATCTTGGCAATGAGTAATCTGTTCTTATGCTGAAATCTAGAACCTGGAAAAATGAAGGAAGGCTTTGGGATCCAAAATCTTTCCAGGTGTTAAAGGAGATTGTGGCATTTGGAGCAATGTATCAGAAAACATCACAAGGGTCAGAGACCAAAACTGTCTCAAGCCCACCAGTGACCCATATGAACTAAAGCAGTGGTTCTCAACCTGTGGGTTGGGACCCCCTTTGGGGTCGAACAGCCATTTCACGGGGGTCGCCAAACAACGCAGTCCGCCATTTTTTTTCCCCTTTTCCTTAGCTGTGCTACTCCCTTTTATTCTATTGGCTTTTGAAAGCCAATAGAATAGACTCTCTTGAATAGAGTCTAATTCTGTTGGCTTTCAAAAGCCAATAGGAATTGTCCAGGCTGTCTCTGCCCTGCTGAGCCCGCCAAAAGTCCCATTCTGTAAACGGTGTTGCACCAGTTGAGTAGTCCTCGACTTACGACTGGTTGAGTAGTCCTCGACTTACGACCGGTTGGGGGTCGCGGCATTAAAAAGGTTGAGAACCACTGAACTAAAGCAATTGGAAAACCAGTTCCAATTTCTCAGAATGGATGTGGAATTCCAGAAGGAGGAAAAATATTTTAAAATGGAAGTGGAGAGAGAGGAGAAGAGAATTGAAGTATGAGAAACAATTTCAAAGTTTGGAACTGGAGAGAATGATGGAAAACAAGGAACAGGCATATAAATTAGGAACTGAGAGGTAAACAGAGGAACATCAATCCAACATTTTCCACTGCCCCTATGGGAAACTGGCAAGTTTCCAAGGTGAAATTAGTTAACGTAGGCTAAGAGATCAACCCCGACTGCACTTTAGAAGGCCAGATCCTGAAGTTGAAACTCAAGTACTTTGGCCACCAAATGAGAAGGAAGGAGTCACTGGAGAAGAGCCTAATGTTGGGAAAGATTGAGGGCAATAGAAGAAGGGGACGACAGAGAATGAGATGGCTGGATGGAGTCACTGAAGCAGTAGGTGTGAATTTAAATGGACTCCAGAAGATGGTAGAGGACAGGAAGACCTGGAGGAACGTTGTCCATGGGGTCGCGATGGGTCGGACACGACTTCGCAATTAACAACAACAAAAAGTGGTGAACCTTACTACTGTGAACCTTACCAGAATTTGGGGATGAAGTTTTATCCATGAGAAAGACGGATGTCCCTTAATGTAACTACCGTATGTGGGTAGCAAATCTTTTCCTTGGTATATTTTGGAGGTGTTCTGAGGGCCAGTGGAATATATTTGCCATTTTATATCAGCTATATTTTTAGAGTTCTTAGTTTTCTCCTCTTGAGAATGTAGAGGATATAGTGGCTGTTCCATCACCATAGTGGTGACATCTCTCCACCACCACCCCTCCTTTCCAGAGTTACTGAAGGATGAGATTGCATATAGTTTTGTAGATATAGAAGGAAAACACAATGCACATCAGAAGAGGGGAGGGGAGAGGAAAGGAGGAGAGGAGAGGAAGACAGCTTTCCTCAAATGTGTCTTCTGCTCTCCTGTCTCCCTGCTTTCATCAATAAAGAACTAACAACTTTCCCCTTAGAAAGTTATGCATGATTCTACTTTCATTTTTCTCTTTTGAGCTTCAGGACGGAATGGAACTCTTCAACCATGAAGAGCATTTGCTCAAACAATTTTCTATCACTGCTAGTTCTTTCCTGTTTTGATGGAATGAAAAAAAAAAATACCCAATTTTCCTTCTTTATTTTTCCAAAGAGCCAAATAACACTGGAAAAGAATATCTCCCACCTGTTCTCCTTTCCATATTAATCCGAATATAACAAGTATTTATGTTATTTGTGTGTATGTTAATTCTGATGTACATCACATGCTGCTCCTTTGGGATCTTAGCATATTAATCTTCCTGATTTGGGGTGGGTGGGTGGGAGGAGCATTTAACTTCCCTTTTTCCAGTCTGCATCACTCTCCAGTCCTACTCCTTCTACCCCCAGTTCTTTGTATTTGTGTTCTACTGTGGAAGCAGCTGAAGAAAGGAAGCCTGCTGTATAAGAGTAAAAATAGATCCGGCAGTTACTCAGCTCCTGAGAACATGATGGTATGACTCATGAGGTAAAATAAAGAGATGTGAAAATCAAAAGCTGTTGCATTCCCCCCAAGCATTACACACATACCCCCCTCATTTTCCCTTCTACCTGAAGTTTGTGGCACCTCAAGCCTAAAGAAAACCAAAGGGAAATAAATTGTTAGAGTTCCAGATAAAAGCAACTAGGTTGGGAACCCCTAAAATCCATCTATATTTCTACACTCCGCTTTCCTGCACATTTCGTATTGTCTTGGAGGAAACCATGGATGGGGGGATTCATTTTTTTTATAGGGTCCTTTATATTTAAACCAGTGGTGGTTGAGGATGGGGACTTACTGGGCCCACTTAACTGCCCCTGCATACTTTGTCTTGGAAATGTAGAAGATGATACGCCTCACCTCCAATTCATGGAGGTTTTATGCCTTTGTTTTCAAACTTGGCTACTTTAAGATGGGTGGATTCCTAGAATTCTCCTGCCAGCATGCAAATTTGAAAAATACTGTTTTATACTGCTTTGTTGTATGTTTCAGAGGACTGAAGTAGTACATCAAGTAGGAACATCCTTTTATATTCGCACACAAAACTGCTGCACTCTGGACCACAATTATAGTACCTCTTAAAATATGTAATTATTTTTAATAACTAACATGAAAATAAGTTTGCAAACTTGCAGGGCATATTTTACCATCTCAAAGCCATATGTACCTGGAGAGCTTCATATTATTAATGTAGCCTTCCTAATGTGGTGCCCTCTGTGAATTGAATGCAATTCCTGTAACAGGCAACCTGATGTGTGGGGGTCTCCTTTATCCCTTCCCTGAATTGGGTTTTTTTTTGGGGGGGGGGATGTGTACTAATTAAAGATCTGAACCTTTTGATTGTTCTATAAACTAAGCCATAACTTGTCTAATGGTAATGTATTTGATTAAACTGTAGAATTTGTAGAAGATACTAAGTCACATTTCCTGGTTTACAAACTGCATCTTCATCATAATACTATATCTCAGATGGCTATGTGAACCTAACTACTATATAAGGTGGCTACATTTTTGTCCTTTTCTGATGTTTTCCCTCTCCATGCACTGTCTTCCAGAGATCTTGTACTACAAAATTTCCCAGCCTATATAAGTTTGCAACTCCTGCAAATAGGGATTACACAATTGTCACATTTCTACTTTTTGCATTTTCTTTTCTTTCTTGACTTCAAAAATCCACCTTATTTTTTTAAACACTTTTAAAAATTTGAAGATTTGCAACCTCTTTCATAAATCTATCTCAGCTTGACTTAATAATGGTATTGCCTTAATTAGGAATTTGGATTTTTTTTTTTCTGTATAATTCTGCTTTTTCTATATGATGGTTGTCAGAAATCCTGTCTACCATACATTCAGCCTTTAATGTTCCTTGTGAGAAGCAAAGTAGCCTTTTTGAGATATAGTGCTCTTTCAGTAAGTTCATCATTCCAAAGTCATTTTCACACCATCCTCAATTATACAAATAAAATACTTCTCTGCTAAGAGTAACAATAGTGAATTTTGTCTTTAAATCTAGTGAGGATTCCATCTACCCCTATATGTTCTGTGTACATTCTGTTGATCCTTTGTATCTTCCAAGTAATCTAATTATCACTTTACATTTCTTCTTTCATGAATCTTTGTACAATCTGACACTATTTTTTGTAGCTGAATATATGGAATCTAATTTGTTCTTCTGATATTGCAGCTAAAATGTAAAGTGGTAAAGAGACAACTTTTCTACCTTCTGCTCCACCTGAGTCCTTTTTAGCCATTTTGAAAAGAAGAACAATAGCCCATCACATTCAACACTTCCAACCAGATCATCTACTCAACCAAAATGCCCCAAACACACATCCATCCCATTGGAGTGGGCTAGCATGTCTTACCTCTCCCTCCCTGGCTCCCTGGGCCCAGACAAAGTGGCATCTCTGCAAACAAAGACTTTCAATAGCTCTCCTGCCCTCTGCCCTCTCCCAAACAATGCAAAGTTACAGAATATTGTCCACAGCTGAGTAAAAAGCCCTAAATATAGAACCTCTGATGTATTCTTGGTTTCCTGCCTGTCGGGCGTCCATCTCCCCCCTTGCTATTGGCTACACTGTCACTAATCTTACACACTCAAACTAACACAAAGGGAGTGAGATCACCAAGACCACCTCCTCTCCACCTTAGAGACATAGGGGATTTCCAAAGTTTTGTCCTTGCTTTTAAGCCAGAATTGGAGTGGAAATAAATGTTACCAGCACAAGTATTGCATGAAAGGCAAGTTCACTCTCAAACAGGGAGCCTTGCACCCCTCTTCCTTTGCACCTGCATTTAATCCTGGACCACCTACATAGTCCTGCCACTGCAAGTGGCCTTTAAGTTCCATGCTGGATCTCTGCTCCATTCTGTCAAGCCACGTTTGTCTTTTTTTTCCTTCTGGTTATTATACTCAAGTTAACATTTACAAATCGGCCATACAAATTTGAACAGGAATAATAATTTCACCCATAGTTCTAATCCCTAAGGTCACTACATACAGGCAAAAGTAAGTCCCTGTATCTCGATTACGTTTTGTTTAGTTTTGAGGTAGTGTACATGAATTCAACCATCAGTGCTTTTTTTCAAAAAAAAAAAAAAAAGTGCTGGAACTCAGACATGTCATACAACCTGCCTTGCCTACCCTACAAGGTTCCATCCAAAAAATCTGCCGGAACCGTTCTGGGCCTTCTATGAGAAAAAAAGCCCTGTCAACCATTGAGTTGATGCTCAGCATGTGCTAACTGTCATTTGTTCAATAAATTGTTATTTTGAAAAAATGACATTATCTAAAGTTGAAAACTCAATTTATGAGTATAATTTCTTATTTATTTAGCAATAGGCTGACAGTGCCCCAAGACATCTCTATAGAGAGATATCCTACTAATCAGTGATAAACATCTAGTTTGGAATAATAGAAAATACTCCCAAATAGTCTGAAAAATTCATCATATGCTGAAAAATCTGAATAGAATTCAATTTTTGTCATTTCTCTGCCCACTCCTCCCAAAGTTTTTGTTAGGTAATTTTATTTATACAAAAGCACAAATTAAAAATCAGACCACACCTTTATAATTAATTACATCAAGGGTTGTTGTAAAGATGGATTTGGCCCTACATAATTAATGATTTGCTGGGTAGACTAAGACTTCAGAGATAAGCATTCTACTTCATTGGGAAGTCAGTTTCCCAAAGAGGCTGGCTTTCATTTAAATCATACCCCTTTTGTAAAACTGAGGATAATTACTTAAAAAAGTGGTAGGCCTGCCTACAAATATCCAACAGGAAGCTCAAATGATATCTTTCTAATTACCCTCTCTGTAATGAAGCTGTGTCTGTTCCTTATCATCGCCTTTTCCTTGCTGGTTTTTGAAGAAAATTCTCATTACAATATTTCCCATATGTAAGGCTGCATGTTTACAGAATTGGAATAGGATTGATCCAAGATTGTTAGATACTGCATTTCAGGGCTGAAGGGAGTTCTGCTAAGGTTTAAAGGTGGTTATTGAATTTACAGTAGTTGCTGCTCTCTTCAGAATAAAGAAAACAGCATTATGGCATAAGCATACAAGATTCACTCTTTTGGGGTATGCATGCAACATTGCAGTGCAGGTAGAAAATGGGCAGAGCTTGTGTGTAATGATGCTGCAATGCTCCTGATATCAGGCTGGCCTCCTTGTCTCTTCTCTTGCCACAGAGGCTGCTGCGTCTGTGAAAATTTAATAGAGATGGTTGAGAGAATGCTGCTTTAATGTAAGAGAGGGACTTTAGTGATATACATACATACATACATACATACATACATACATACATTGGGCAGAATGCCGTCTTAATGTTGTGTTTGTGGAGGATCTTACTGATTCTGTCTGTGGTGCCTTTTATGTAAGGGAGGAGGGCTTTGCTGTTTTCTTGTTCTCTGTCTTGGGTTTTAGTGGGGGTTTCTTTTTGGATTAGTTTGGTAATCTTGGTAATCTTTGGTAACTAATCTTTTTAGATTCTGTTTGGGCATTCTGCCCAAACAGAAAAATATCCACCATCCTAAGAAACCCCAAAGATAAAATTGAATTAGAAAATCAAGGAGTATACGAAATCCCATGCACCACTTGTCCCACCACATACATCGGACAAACCAACAGAAGAATAAGTGCACGCATTGAAGAACATAAGAACTCAGTCAAAAAAGAGGAACCAACTTCTTCCCTGGTCCAACACCTTAAAATCACAGGACATGAAATTGACTTTAAAAAGATCAGAACTATCGCCAAAACTGAACATTTTAATAACAGAATAATCAGAGAAGCCATCGAGATAGAAAAACTCCCACACAGCATGAACAAACGAGATGATACCTCCTGCCTACCAGCCATTTGGAAACCCACCCTTATTGACAAACGACTCCCTAACACAAAAAATGATACCAGACCCACACTCACAAAAACCACACAGGATGTCACCACCACACATCCACGCAAAAAGCAAACCTAAAGCCACACCGATGATGAGGCACGACCACAAACCAGAAGCCAGACCACAGCTGCATCATTAGCCACTTTAAACCCCTCCAATCCATACATGAAGCAAACTGACACCCACCATGAAGATGAGGCACGACCACGAACACGAAGCCAAAAAATAGCAATGCAGCTCACCATCTTAAATTCCCCTGCAACTCAGACTAACCTGAGCACAACAAAGCCCCCACCCAAACAGAACACTCCCCCAGCCATTCAGAGCACAGCCAACCCCCCAGCCAATCAGAGCACAGCCAAGCTCCTAACCAATCAGAACACACCTCCATCCAATCAGAACACAGCCAAGCTCTCATCCAATCAGCTGAAAACACCAGCCTGAAGATGACGAATGAGACTTCGTCGAAACATTGCCAAGACACTTCCAATTTTACACGGGAGAAAACCCGAACAACCAAAGACCTACATACAAATACCCGTGAAAACCTCAGAAAACATATATATATATATACACACTGTATATGTATGTGTGTGTATATATGTGTGTGTATATATATACATACATAAATCTCATAAGTTCTATGTATGCAATGGGATGCAGACTTGTGCATATACATAGATAACTCTGTTCTTGAGGGCTGTACATGACCCCCCCCCCACGATAATTATATTTCCAACTCAGTGAATTATTCATTGTATGTACCTTTGAACATGCATGCATCTATGGTTCAAATCACTTTCTATGAATCAAAAATAATAATGCATGAGAGTGCTGGAATTAAGGTATTAGAATGCAAATCAACTGCTAGAACACAATAGAACTTTTTACAATTTTGTCCATATTGCTTATGGTATTCATTTACAGATCACTGAAAGATGATTCTTTATACATCTATAATAATCACCCAAGCCATCACTGCAAAGTAAATGTAAGTGTTTCAAACCATTATTGCTTATAGAAGTGTTAAATCAATACTTTGTTGACAAATATTCCACCAATATTTTGCAGTAACAGAGGAGATGACTTTGACGGGAGGTGGGGAACCCAGTCTCTAGAGAGTTTATTTAGTCTGTAGGCCTCCCCCTTGTTTTTTATTGTGACAGTTTTTCTGTTGAGCAAAAATGGATAGAGAATTTGTATGGCTGAAGGGTATTATTTTAAAAGGGGTGCTTTGGAAAGCATGTGAGTGAAGCATTCTTTCTTGAAGTATACATGCATGCATGCATAGACAATACCTCTGGAACCACTAATGAAGTAAAATGCCTATATGTGCAAATAAATAGGGGAAACCTTTGAAACAGTAGCTTCAAGTTTTCCAGAAGATAAGGCTGCTTTAATGTTTGAAGGGGGGATGGTTTCCTCATGATACCATTGTAACATCCCCATGTTCATGTGATCAAAATTCAGGCGCTTGACAACACACATGTATTTACCTCAGTTGCAGCATCCAAGGGTCAGGTGATCACAATTGGCAATCTTCCCAGCTGTTTTTTGATACACAAAATCAATGGGGGGAGCCAAGTTTGCTTAATGACTGCATGATTCATTTAATAACTGTATTGATTTGCATAACAACCATGGCAAAAAATGGTTGTAATATTGGGCATAATTAACAAAGTTTGCTTTGTTGTAAATTCTGATCCCAACTGTGGTCACAAATTGAGGATGACCTGTAAGGCAACCATTTATTAAAATAACTGACTGCATTAGGCTTTTGAGTCACCTGAATTGCAATTCCATTTTTTGCCATAAGTAGAAACAGATAAAAACTGTCATGTATGGCCCTAACACAAATAAGAAACAAAACTCCCTTTACACACGCATTCCTACATAATTGTTTCCCCAGATTCACTCTTACCCATATGTGTGATAGCCCCTACTCTTCATTAATGCAAAACGTGGTCCTTGACTCCCCAATTGCTGTCCACTCTTTTCTTAATAGTCTACTTCTCACTGGTGAAAACAAGTTTCTAATTACACTGACTCTTTAATTACAAAAAAGAAAACAAAACCACAGGTTAAAGAAATCAAAGAAGTTGCCATATTTTACATATGCATCACCCACTCAGCTCCAAATGCTAATGTGTAATGTGCTTTCTTTTACAGATTCTAACATTTGGAATTTTTCAGAACTTTTTATTAAGGACTTTGTAAAGAGGAGTGTGTGAGTTCTGTTAAATAAATACAAAAGACTGATTACCACTTAAACAAACCCCCTTGTTTTGGAAACTGTAGCCAGGACCAGCCTATTTTTCCTATCTCCTCATTCCCCATTCTGTGTTCATGCAATGAACAGGTGAAACATGCTATGCATTCTCACATTTTTTTTTTCAATTGTAAAAGTTTAACATTTTCCTCTTTTTTTGCCAAGAATGGAAAAGGGAGGGGACATTCCTTTGGAATGTGGCTTCTATTTCCCATGGTAGTTGATTATCCAATTCAGCAGAAGCATGGAGGTGGGGGAAGCACTAGATCTGTACTATCCAAGAAGCGGGGGAAGAAGAAACAGCAGCTACAATCTGAATCACAGATGGAAAATAAATACCAAAACTGAGGAGCAGAAAAGGGGAGAAATATGATTTCCTCTAAGTTATGGGGAAGCTTCAGGTAAGAGAAGAAAGACAATCCACCTGTGGGCTATGCAACCAATGATCCATGAATCACAGTTTCTAATTCTATCCCAGACAGAGGACCAGGCAAGCTGTGATGGAGAATAATGATATAATGAGGGATCAGTGGTGAAGAATGAAAACCACTGCTTAGAAATTCTTTCAAACTTGGATGGAGTCCTGGAGGAGATTTGATGCACCTGGAAGATGCCCTTCGAGCACCAGTACTCCCTTCTTTCTAAATTACATTGGAATAAAGGTTCAGTCATTGTCCACAAATCTCAAATCAGCAGACACCTAATTGACTTGGATCTTATCTTGGGAGGGAAACAGTCTGTTAATGTGATGCATGTTTTCCTAGGGGATAAACAATAAGAAGTGAGGCTTCACCTTCCAGATCCTTACCTGTAAAAGTTATTCAAAAGCTCCCACATCCATAAAGCTGCAAATCCAAGTATTGTTTTTATTCAAAGACATGAATTATTCTGCAAATATGCCAATAAAGAAAACCTGCAAACTCACTGCAGCTTCACACTAAACAGCCCAGTTTAAAGTGAAATAAGTAAACTGAAGACATTATTATCATTTATATTGATTGTAGAATTTGCATTCTCCTTGTGTATCTACAAAACAGGAGCCACTTTTCTCTGCCTCCATTTCATGTTGTTTGTTGCTTGTCAGTCAAATGTTTCATGTAAAGGCTGTGTTCACTTGTTCAGCAGTCAGAACAAAGAAAAAACACAGCTAGTAAGATGCATTTGAATTAATTATTTTTGAGTCATATTTCCCTGCCTTTTGCAACATGCTGGGCTGCCCCTACCAAACTCCAGGTTAAGAAGCCTTTATTTTTAAAATTGCAAACAATAAATGAGTAGCTGTTAAGATCCTGGAGGAAAATTATATATAGATTTTAATCAGCTCCTTTGAGTCAATTTCCCTTCCCATCATTCATTAGCAGGGACAAGTGCCAAAATGACCCTCTAACACCTTATCTATCAGTGGAATAACTGGATCTCCTGGAACACCTGGCATTTATTTATGGTATGATGGGTGCTTAAATCTATTATCACAAACAACTCCAACAGAATATCTCAATTTTCTGAATTCACATTTTTATATTTATTTATTTATTTGATTGGATGATTGACTAGCGGTCTCCAAATTGACTTGGGCAGTTCACACTAAAAAAAGAAAGACATAAAACCCACATTGATTACCTGAGGGTACAGAAAAATGCAACAAAATAAACAAGATGGAAATCTAAACAACCAACATCAAAATACAGTAAATGCCAACCAAATATGTCCAAGAAAAGCTTCCATCCACTATTACCTCAGTGGCTGGGAGAACAGACAGGACTTCAAAACTTGCCAGAACACTATCAGAATGGGAGTCATCCAGATCTTGGGAGGGGGGAGGGGGGTGTCATCCCAGAGAGCAAATTAAATTAAATTAAGTTTGCAGGCAGAATGTGCAATAGGCTAACACTACTGTAATTGGACAGTATTGCCTTATCCTTGTGCTGATCTTCTAACTTCTTTTATATTATGAACATATGCATGATACCAAACTGTATTAATGCTACCCCATGCATGACCACACCCACTAATTTTTCTCCCAAGCAAGACTGCCCTGGGAGAATTTTTGACAACTTTCTCTGTAATTTCTGTAGCATGAATGGCTAAATTGATTTTCAGAATCAATATCCTGAATGAGTATTCTCATGTGGCTAAAAAGATCCACAAAATATGTTAAGCAAGATACAAAAAATGGGAGGTATATAAAACATCAGGTGTATGGATTAATCTGTATTACTGAAACCCTGTTCTAGAGTCTTGTGAAAATTCCCACCCACTCTCCAGAAAAACAAACTTAAACAAAATATTGTATTTCCCCATGACCTATATCATGTTTTTGAGTCAGAATGGAGGGACATTTGATAGTTCATCTCAAGTGAGCCCTTTTAAGTGCAGTAGCTTCATGTGAAAACTGATTCATAATCATGTTAGACCATGGCAGTGTTACTGAAATCCAGGACACTGGCTAAGTTTATAGCTTCCTCTAATTGCTGATGATTTTATTCTTTTTTAAACTTGGCCAGACATTTGACCAGATCCACACCTTTGCTCTGCCTTGCTATTCCTCTTATATCTGTTCATTGCAACTTCTCTGTCCTCTCTAGGTATGCAAGTAGAACAAGGAACTGAAATAGCAATTTCCATTCACCTGGCATTCTCCCCAGAGAGACAGACTCTGAGTCATGGATGTGCTATTTTTCTCAGCTGGGGACCACACTTGACATTGAGTGCCATGGTGGGCAATGTGCTAAACAAAGTAGATGGAAAAAACTCTGGGTGAGGTAAAATCAACAATTAAATTTAACATTTAATTTACAATTCAGGAAAAATAAAGGTGAGATGATTAGCCTCAATGTGTTCCACAATTTTCTACTCCTGCCACATTAAAAAATATAACTTATTTTTCATCAGCTGATGTCTCCAAGTCACAATTGAAGGTCAATTTAGACGCAAAGTATTGGCTCCTGCCACAGCTATGGAAGGAGTCTGAATAGGTCACTCTTATCACAAGAAAACATAGTGGTAGCCAAACACAACAACTAAGTCCCTGTGCTTGTCACCTTCTCCAGCTTTCCTTGCAAATATATTTGTGCCCTTTTCCCTCCTTTCTTGCATGGACTTCATCATAAGAAATCCTTTGCCACACCACCTAGCTGGTGAGCAATGCCAGTGAAACAAGATGGAAAAAAGAGGTCCTTGGGTGGAAACAGTCCCAATACCCCTCTGGGAGTCTGGTACCTGCTGCTCAGTTATCCTGATTTTAAAAAAAGCGTCTGAGCAAAATTCCTCAGCCAACCCAAGAATGCCACTTGGAACAAGGGAAGCAAGGCTGGAGAACAAAGTCATGCAAATAAATAATTTTTTGCGCTCTCAGAACAAATGCATGTCCTATTCCTATTCTAAGGAAAGAATGTTTTCTGATCTTCTCTTAGGATTTAACTGAAGCCTGAGAGGCTGCAGATTCATGGAGATATGATTCTAGAATAAGATAGGATATTCACATTTGTACAACTCTTGGTCTGCTCATTAATGAATTAGTTTGAAAACACAGCACTTCCCATATGAGGATTTCAGTGAAATTCACTTTTTTGTTGTAAAATAGTTATGCAGTAAATTATGTATTATCAAACTGAATCAAACTCATGGAAAAAAAATACATACTAATTTTATCATATGATATTAAACAATGTAATGGGCCATATAACTTCCTGAAGCAGTTTTACTTACTGTTTATAGTTCCATATTGGCTGCTGCTGCCGCCGCCGCCACCCCTCCTCCTCCTCCTCCTCCTCTTCTTCTTCTTCCTCCTCCTCCTCCTCTTCCTCCTCTTCCTCCACCGCCACCATTTTGCCATCTATTCACAGGAGATAATTAGCAATTTTTTACTTCAAAGACTGTCCTGCATAACTGCTGTTAAGATCCAGTTCCATTGCCACATAACATGAACCATAGTGTTCTGTTCAATAATATCTACTCAGCCAATATCCATGACCTGGGCATTTCATGAGAAAACAATTCCCGTACAGAGGACAATTAATGGCTATTAGACTTCTTGAATTCCATTAGGAACTATATAGTCTATGGTGGTAGGATGACAATAGCAAAAATAGCTTGGGCTCTCCCAGGCCTAGGCAACCTTCTTGCAGTCACTCCCTGATAAAAAGGGAAGAGGGGGCAGTGTGTGTACAGTATGTGGGTGAGGGCAATAAAGTCCAGTCACTCCCTTGTCTTTGTTAATATGCAATAGGAATCACATTATTATATGTAAAAGGCATTCTCTGCATTCCAATGCTTGCAGCTCATAGTTACAATTCATGGTTCATTGGTATGCTGCATGGTGGTCAGTCTGCTTCTGAAGAAACATTTCTATCCTAGGAGGAGAAGCCTCTTTGTCTGCAATAAGACTAAGACTTTAAGACTAAGACTAAAACTTCCAGCTCCTAGCCTGCTGCCATTAACTATGGCACCAAACAACTCTCATTCCTTAGTATTACTTATGTGCTTCAACAATTCTCACACTTCTGTACACCTCTGCACATCTGCTTGATACTACTTTTCTCAAGTTGGAGAAACAACACTTAACTACATTTCTGTTCATTTTACAGAGGAGTATGTCAGGAAATAAGAGGAAGGGTTGAGGGTAGTCTCATGTAGCATGTTTTCTACTGTCAATGAATTTTCCTCATTTGCCTCTTCACCTAGCCATTTCCAAAAAATAAAATCCATAACAAAAGGCAGAAAATGTGTTTTCTACTGTACTCCTCTGTTCTAGCTAAAATACAGTAATTAAATTTCAACCATGGATTGTTGTTGAAAGCAACCAAAACACATCATTGAGAGATGAAATATAAAATTATGTAGGTTGAAGAAACGTTTGTAGGGTTCTAACTAGCATAAAAATGTTAAGCTAATTCATTAACTATGTATGTATTTGCATATAGCTAAAATAGAAATATTTGTTTAAAAATATGGAGAAAACATGATACATCTTAATAGTGCCACCTTAGAAGAAGCATATATTTCCCATAATAAAGATGGAATGCCTCTTCTAAAATCATAACTATCATACAAGAACATATCATTTCCAGACTTTACAAAGGATTAACTTAAGAAGGCAGCTCTAGAATTTTCACAAAAGTATAATGTCTTGTCATTTTAGGGAAGTTCTCAGCAAAGTAAGAAATTCTGCTTTCATTTAAATGTCAGTTTTTAAATGTATCTGTCCACTCAGGCCTTTGCTTACCCAGTACTGCTGGATGGTGTTGTCCTGTGTTGACATAGTTAATTTTCCATTGTACCCATTTTAATTGAATGTTCTTACATTTTTAAAATAGAATGGCCACTTTGACAGTATAAAAAATACACGCTATAATTTTATTAAATAAATAGATGTACTATGGAAGTGTTGCTTTGTTATACCATCATTTTGTAATAAAACCTTCAGTCATGATTATGTGATACAACCAACCAATATAAGTGCTAACATAATTCCAGACAATAAATTCCAACCTTCAGATTTCTCTTACTGGGTTTATGTCCACTTATTTTTGCTTCCTTAACAGAGGATGAATTCTTCTCCAGCATGAAAGATAGTCCCACTGTAGCCGAGCAATTCTAGTCTCGGGAGAGTCAAAAGGAAGTCAAGTCCACCTACCCCCCCCCCACCAATTATGATGTAGATAAATTTCATTTCTTCCATTGGAACCAAATTTGCTAGAGGAGAAGAGAAAATAACATAATGAAGATGGGTGACATCAGTTTGACCCCAAAACCATTGGCATAAGGAAGCAGAAGCCTGAGAAATTGGGTTCAAATGAAAGGAAAAACTTCCTTTCTTTTTTTTTCTCCACAGCATCTCCCCCCCCCCCCCAGCTGTATTGAAGCAAAGCAGAACTCATGGTTTTGTCATGTCCAAGACCAAGATCAATGCCTTTGTCTTGACA